TAAGTAATTTATCTCAAGCGAAAACAGTTAATAGCAAATTCATGTTCGTTAGTCGGTATAGGAAAAGCATAATTACAGTTGACGCGTTTAAAAAAAAGTAGGACTTTATTATCAAAAATTTGCACTTGTGTTAAATTTTAATTAATAAAGTTCATGAAATGAGACAAAGTTGTCAAAACAATTTGAAACTTATTTGCAGAGCCCGCAATAGGTTCCATATTCTGACAAACTTTTGTCCCATTTCAACAGTATTTGAATATTTATACTAGCAAAAATTTATTAGCAAATAATTTAATAGTTTTCATATAATGACCAATTTTGAATTTTAAACAGAGCGTTTTGAATAGTCGCCGTTGTTTATTTCGCCGAAATAAAAATATTTCTGTGTAGTGTGAAATTACTTGCATCTAGTGTAAGGAGTAAAAGTATACATTAAGCCATATAAAATATATTTATTAATAACTTATCACATATTTCAGTGTGTAACGATAAAAGATGTAGTGTAATTCGATGTATTAAATTTAAAATTTGTTATTTTGAGCCTGTAATTTGAGATCACTTCAACGTGAGGAAGACAAAATAATTGCGAGCGTAAATCAACAACTTTTTAAAAAAGTCTCCAAATCGTCGGGAGGTCTCTTATTAAAAAAACGGCTAAGTAAAAATAAATTTGTAAACGTTTCATATATTTGCTACTATTATCTTAGTAGCATTAAATTTACAATAGTTTAAGATAAAAAATTATTCCAAAAATCAAAAAAAAAAAATTAACCCGATAGGTTTTGTAGCTTGTAACCCATTATTAGTGTACGGAATCTATTTGTAATGTATAAGAATATATTTGTATCACATATAATGCATGATTAAATTTGACTTATATAATAAACTAATTTTAACATAACCAGATATAAATGGATGAAAAAAATTAAAAACCAAAAATATATGTATTTATATACGTTGGCATATGTACCGAACGCTTTTTGTCGGTGTAATCGTACGCAAATTAATATAAATTACACATATTATATCCAGTTTAGATTTTAAGTAAAAGACGAAATGAACCACGCGACTTTAATAAAATATTTCAATGGAAAATTATCGCTCTTATTAATTTTTAATATCAGTGATTATTGCTTCCAAGAATGGCCCATGATAATGTTATTGCTGGTCTAGGTATTTTCGCTTGGGTAAATCTTTACTAAACAAATATTAAATAAAAAATACTATTAATTATGCATATTCATAGTTTTACTTTACTTTGATCCATCGTTTCAATTTAATAGAAATTATTACATTTTTTTATTGGATTTGAACCTGTAACTACTTTTTGGTAATTAATTTTATTTAATAAAAATCTCGATTGGTAAAGACACAATTATTCTGCTAAACAAATGAATACAGATGAATTATTACAAAATAAAATACATAATTACTTAAATAATAATGTTGAAGAAAAATCATATTAAAATCCAACAAGAATCTAATTGGATTGATTGATTTGCATCTAAACCCTTTTATTTTCATATGTTCAATAGTATTGATGCTAATTAAAACAAATTGTACATTAACAGGAATATTATTCTAAAAAATTAAATTAGAAAAATATAATAATCAATCAAAAATATCTAAAATTCTTATTAAATAATATTAATCATTTTAGCAATCATAAGTAATATTGATCATTTTAATGATATTGTTTGAGTTTTTTATGAACTCTTAACTCAGAGTTACATAATTTATATCATTTTTTATTGCTAAGACAAGGTTCTTATTATTTTCTAACAAAAATGGAAATGTTAAAATTGATATAAGAATCCAACAAGAATTTAAATGAATTAGTCATTTTTTTTAATTTTAACTCTTTTATTTTTAATATGTTTAACAGTTTTTGATAGTTTTCAAGCTAAATATATAAATTCTGAATATTATTACAAAAATATGTCATAAATAATTATTTTTAAGATTATAATAATTCAAAAAGTGCGTAAATTTCATATTAAATTGAAATAATATTGATCTTTCTTATACAAGATTTTGCATTTTCATAATTATTATTATTTTTGACGAATTTTTAATTACATTTTTTATATTATTTATTACATGAGCATTTTGATTTATTACACATTTTAATTATATCGAGCTTTTTGTATAAAAAATTAAAATGATTCAGTGAAATTTCTATTGAAAACAATTCATTATTCATAAATAAACAATTATGCTGGTAAATAAGTTAAATTAGCAATTTTTATACTTTTTTTACTAATATTTAATATTTAAGGTAAAAAAAATCACGCCATTTTTTGAGGATTTTACTTTAAACTGTATATATCAAATATTATGTAATTGATTATACAATTAGACAAAATTTCACATTTTTAATATTACAGAATATTTTATTTTGGTTTTAAATTGTTTATACGAATGAATTCAAATTAATTTAAAAATTGGTAGTTTTTTTAAATAAGTATTAGTAAAAAAACAATCATTTTATTAACTATATTTAAAATACACATAAAACTATTAAATTTAATGGAATCTATTTATTTACATTAATCTTTTGCATTATGAAGAATCATTAGAAAGATCGCCTTGGCACTTATGATCATAGCTAAAAATATTAAAAAATTAATTCTCTATATTACAACGATAAGAATTTTTAAAATTAGTATTTGTTTGTTATGCAAATATGTAGTGAAATAGTTCATAGTTGTTAAAATGATGTATTATATGATATTTGACATAATTCAAATGATACAATACTCTTTAAATATTAAAACTTAATGAAAAATTAACATAATAAGAAATACAATTGCAAATAAGAATCATAATGGAATAAATATTATTTAAAAAATGAAGTAGCTGCAGAAAGCTCGGTTGGATATTTTTGTTAAACTTAATTTTTCGGTTCTCAAGTCTTTTAGGATATATTGTACAAAAATGTTTTGGGTCGTTTTTTATTTTTCCATGCAAAAATAATAATTCTTAATTTCTATAAATAATTATTTATAGAAATTTAAACAAAACATATAGTCTACTCAATGTGCATTATTAATATTCATTAATGTAGTCTATGTATTATTGTGAATATGTAATTTATGCGCTCTAAACAGAGGAAAAGTAAAATTTTAATAATTTTCAAGTATTCATAAAATTTTAAACTAATAGTCATATCTATGTGTTTCGAAATATGACTATAACAAATATATACTCGTATACAGGGTGTCCCAGAAGTCAATGACAAGGCGAAAGGGAGAGTGACTGTGTTGATTGTAACTATCATGAAAAAATTTAAAAAATTAAAAAAAATATATATACTAAAAATGAGTAAAAATAAAACATCTAAAGTTTAAATGAACAAACATAATAAAAATTAACCATAATAACCGATGAATGCTTAAAGTTTGACTAAAGCTCTAGGTTGTACATAAAAGCTCACAATTTTGAAACTGCATGTATAATTTAATTATAACTTTTTTGTGATAATTATAATCAATATAATGTTATCCCCTTTTGGTTTGGGGTTGAATTTTAAGACACCCTGTATAAAATAAATATTTAAATTTAAGTCATTTCAGTTACAGTTCAAAAGATCCTTTCAAGTTCCTTTTCATTTCAATTATCAGGTGATCATTTTCCCTCGAACGTGTTAGTTTAGTTATTGTGTGTCCTTTCTGAGGATTTTGATTTTGCTGATTATTGTAAAATAATTATTACTTAGCCGTAATTGATATAAAAACTACGAAGATATTGTCAAAAGTTCTAGTGATATTGTAGTTAGCAATGTATTGTAGTTTGAAATTTGCATAAATCTTTTGCGATCGTTTGAATGGATTCTGAAATTTGTTGTTCATCATAGCTCTCCAAATATGATAGAAAATTAGTATATTAAAAATGCCAACTCAGGTATTATAATATTTTACCTGTCACATTTATAAATTTCTGCTAATTGGTAATGCATACCTTCCCAAATATACTTTTTCATACATTTTTAATTCATGGGACGTTAAAATATTTTTTTTGTTTTTTCTGTAGTTAAAAGCTATCGTCTAACATCTAAATAAAATATTGAATATAATATGGATAATATTTTATAAATAATTTTGCGTAGATAGGTGTAGATAAAATAATTTTCATATATAATAGGGCTATAAGTAGTCACCTAAAGATTTAATAAAAAAAATTATTCTCGAATCAGTCTTTATGATATAACAATCTATTTAACTTTTTTATCTTTGGTCTATAAATTTTTTTATTCTTATCAGGACTCCATGAATGTTTTTACCATACATAAGTACTACAAAAAACCTTCATACTAAATCTACGAATTTAGCTATTAACAGTAACAATAAGTGAAAATAATTGTCATAAAACGCTAATCTTATTTAGTGTAAGAATGAATGTTTATTACATTGTAATTCCCAAATATATTCTATATATTTTTTATTCAATACTTAAAATAGAAATACTAAATTAATTTCGTTTAAAATATATTGTCCTATTAACGTTTATTAATATATTTCACTATAGCCATATGTTTTTGTGATCGAAAGCTAGAAATAATAATTATATTTTAAACCGTAAGTGTGAGCGTGTTTAAAGATGCATATATACATTAGATGTGTAAAAGTGTGAATATTATGCATTTTGTAGATGGTATGATGTTTTAAAATAATATTGTTATAGATATGCTTATATAGTGTTTAAAAAATTATGTAAAGCAGGATAGATATCCAATAAAAGAAATGTTGTTGGAACAATGTTTTTAAAAATATCATTTACACTTTGCAATCAATTTTCTCTTATGTAAGTAATGAAGAAAATAAAACCTGCTACCTTTTAATCTATTATGGCTTGGCCAAGTGGAAGGTATTTTAATTGAAACAGAATAAAATTGACTTATTAAAACTTTATTTACAATATATATATATATATACCTAATAACATTATGAATATCTATTTTTATATATATTTACATCATGTTTTTCTATTAAGACCAGATTAAATTTATAACATCTATGTACAACTACAAAACTGTATGAATATAATAATAATACTATAACATTGAATTAAATACCCATTTATATAGATATTAGAACATCTTCCGGAACCATGGATGCCTTTTTGTGGTGTCGCCATATATTAAAATCTGTAAGTATTGGGCGTCCATATGCTGTATGTAGTTCTCTAAATGTTATTTTGTTTTTGTTCTGCGAGTCGGTATTTTTTGTTGATTCTGGAAAAATATTATTTGTGTATATTTTTGAGTGATAATTTGACAAATTTAATATCTAATTTTACCTCTCTTAGGAGCTACAGGAGTAGACCCTTGGTTATTGTTGAATGGGTTATGTCTTTGTCTGGGTGGCGGAAGAGGTAAACCAGAAGCTCCATCACCATTTTCTGCAAAAAGGTAATGATAAAATATTGATAAATGATACATAGAAAAAGAGATTTAAGTGGTAAAAGTGCAGGAGAAATAATAGTCAATTGAATATATGATTCGTAGATATTCATGTAATATGCTATAAAGCCCATTTTATATGTTTGCCATGTAGTCTATTATATATATATATATATATATATATATATATATATATATATACAAATAGATATGACATTTATTGAATATTTACCTTCCAATTCATCCAACTGTCTCTGTAACTCTGCTACCATCAGTTTCATGTAATCGTAACCCGCACAAGCCAAAGCCTTCATCCATTGCTCCATGACTTCTTGAGAATCAGCACCCAGAATGTAAGATCTATTGTTAGGTCCATGGAACATTATTTTAAAACTAAAATGCTCTTCATCTTCTGCCAATTCTAGAAAACATTGGGAATGAAATGTAAGTTAGAATGAATATTATGTGATGTTATATGTATTTTTAATGTACCTATTGTGCATCCCTCGAGGATGATAACACCGAGAGGTTCTTTATCTGCTTTTTTCTCAAAATAAAATAATAGATTCCCTTTGAGAACGAACCATCTTCTTTGGAAGGCTTTGTTGATTTCGCCCTTTTTGCTAAGCCAACCTTCACGATCTACAGGAGTAGATGATGTAGCAAAAGCACAGAGATTTTTGTCATTGATTTTCATTTTATAAACTAGATTTACTTTACAGAATCGAATAAAAAATTAAAATTCGAGACCAAAGTGACGGCCAACATTCATCTGTCACTTTTTAGGTTATGAATCTGCAAATGTCAAAATCAGTGTCATGGTGTCATGGGGAAGTTGAAATATCTGTCAAAAAATTAGTAATAAGTAAAAAAATTGGCTTCAATTATTTTAGGTTTTTGTTTTCAATAATAGTTAAAAATATTGACCCCTTTGATGTGAATGTGTTAGGAAATGACCACATATAATGAGTTTAAATTGTCAAGTTACATTTTATCAAATACATATATTTTACTACTGTCATTTTCCAGAAGGACTGTAACTGTAATTTTCCAGAAGGCTTTAGCTTTTAGAAAAGGGCTTTGATATGGATTGGATATGGATTCTAATTGTTAAAAAAGAACTAACAGATTTATCAAAAACAATATTGATGTGTTCACCTGAAGCAGAAATTTTGAATCAACATCATTCTCAATTTCAAAATGATCTGAACATAAAGCATTTAAATTAAGGGATGATAGTAAGTGATATAATAAGTTATAATATGAAATATTCTCTGTAAAAACTGTTACAGTAGGTACTATTGTAGCTAAATCAAGACAAAACTAGTTACGGAAAAAATGTTGAACAAAAGGTTCCAGTTCATACATTTGGCAGAGCAACCTTAATTGTCTTATATTCACTAGGTATATAAAACATCTAAATTATATATATATATATATATATATATATATATATATATATTATTTCTATTACTTATTTAGGAGTAGCACCTTATCATAATGCTGACTCTATAAGAATATTCAGTAAGTCTCATATATAGTTATTTTTCTTTCTTTAAGTATTTATTAGCTGAGAATCTTGACACTAATGGACAAGTTGATGTTATTTACACTGGCTTCAGTGTAAATAACAAGGTTTTCAAGCTTTTGACAAAATTGATCATAACATTCTTCTTACTAAATTATCTAATATTGGTCTTAATTCTTTACTTATCTATTTTTTTAAGAGTTATCTTCATAATCGTAAACAGTTTGTCTATCTTAATGGATTCTTGAGCAATATTGAAAATATCAGTTCAGGTTTACCTCAGGGATCCATTCATGGTCCACTACTATTTATTATTTTTATTATTGACATATCTGAAATTATTAGCTGCCCACATTTATTATTTGCAGATGATCTCAAACTATATCTCAAAATAAATTCTATTTGTGACTGCTTATTATTACAGTCTCAATTTGACTCTTATCACTCTTCCTGTGTCTATAACAAATTACATTTAAATATATCAAAGTGCAAGATTTTTAGTTTTTTACATAAGCGCGTTCCAATACATTTTGATTATAAAATTTCTAACACCATCGGCATTGATAGATGTAATAAAATTTCAGATTTAGGAGTTTTATTTGATTGTGGTTTGTTTTTCACTGATCATGTAACTGATATTTGTAATAGAGCACATAAATCTTTAGGTTTGATACTGAGAAATTGTAAACAATTCAATTCTAACAATGCACTTCTTTGCATGTACTATTCTAATGTACATTAAAAATTAGAATATGGTTTGATTATTTGGTATCCTCATCAAGTCAATAACTCTGATGCGATAGAGAAGGTTCAGCGAAAATTTCTGAAATACCTTTATTATAAAACATATAAAATTTACCCTGAACGTGGCTTTGACCACAACACTTTACTAAAAGTATTTGGTATTCCTTCCCTTGCCTCACATCGATTTATCTGTACAATTATGTTCTTATTTAAACTTTGCAATAATTCTATAGACTGTCCTCTTATTCTTAAACAAATATCCTTTAATGTTCCAAGGCTATCTACACGTTCACAATTATTTTTCAATTATCCTACTCTTAAATCTAATTCTCTCTTAAATTTGCCTATTTTACTTATGTCCTCTAACTTTAACTTAATTAATAATGAAATAGATATTCACAACACTTCACCTAATCTCCAGCTGCTCAAGTTAATCTTTTTATTTTCTTTTCAAATATCTTATTATTTTATCTTATTCTGTAGTTTTATGTTAATAACTAGTATTTTATGTTAATAACTATATATTGTAATTTTGTATATATTTTAATTGTTATTCATTATGTAAAATAATTGTATTTTTGGGTCCTCTTGGAAGAAATCTGTGGGCTATATATTTAAAAAATAAATAAAACAAATAAATAATAATCTTCGTGAACCTGAGAAAAAAACAACTTACTTATAAAATAAATGATGCTGAAACCTAGGAATGATGAAATATTCTTAAGATTTAACTCATGAATGTAGCAATAAACTTAAGATTTTTTAATGATGATTTAGATTTGAAATATCTCAAATATCTATCAATTGTAGGAATCACAATAAACTTCTGCCAGCAAGTTTTCGAAGCTGCTGCTATTTCTGGATTAATAGGCTGATGCTGTTTTTTTTTGTATTATCGAATCCTACACTTGTCAAAATTACAAATGGAGCAAATTTGAAGTAAGTTTTAATAGACAAGGTTTTTAATTCATTAATTAATAACTGAAATATCATATATAAACAAATTAACTTCAGTAAAACCACCTATAGAAAATATGTAATCATGCTCATAATTATTTCTACCTAAAAAAAATTATGGCATCAATTATTACAACAGATGGATTGTTAGATCAAGTCATGACTTGTTAATTAATTATTCTTGGAGGTGAAATAAAATTAAACAACTTTATTTAATAGAAAAAATATTTTAATAATAATTTTATGTAAATATTACTAGTCATTTTGATATAGTATTTGTTCATATAAAATAATCAATATACACTTTATATGGAATTGAATCACATTTGTAATGAAATTTTATATAAATTATTTAACTTAGTAAGTTATAAATACATTTTAATTATATTTTGATAAATGTGGTTTAAGGCAAATTAACAAAGTTGTCTGTGCCAGCAAATAATATTCCTAGTACTAATACAATTTATTATTTATTATTACAAGTCATTTTTTCCATTATAGGAGATTTCAAGTATTAGAAATATACATTAAACAGAAAAACAGAGATGATGAATAGAAGATCAAGTAAGTTTTGCAACATTTTATATACCATTACTTATAATAGTTTTAGGAAGTTTAATTTTATTCATTTAAAAACTTAAATATCGAATGATAATTCCAATGAATTTGCCAATTCATGTGGTAATAGAATAGAATAAAATGATAAATCAAAGTAGATGCCAGTATATTAAACTTCAGTTGTAGTTACATGAAACACCAATATTTTTTAATGAAATGAGTTAAAAAAATAGTTAGAAATTCATATAGTTTGTTTAAGAAACACAATTTTGTACAAAAGTACATTTTGCTCACAATAATCTAAAAAAATACCACGAAAATCTATTAGAATTTCATGTGAATGTACTTGAATCAAATGAAATGAATGAATAATATATAATTGATTCTATAGATAAATTCTTTCTTAAATCAGATTTATAATGAAAAATTAATTCTTTGTCCCATCAAGCACTTTGAAGCAAAAGCATTATGGGGTTTTAATTAATTGTCAATGAATTGATAATTATTGATGTGCTTCGAATAATATTTTAATACCTTTGAAATGAATTGAGTTTAAAAATAATAAGAACTTAATATAGTTGATATAATATACATGCTTCACAAACAAGTATTTAAATATTAACAAATATTTCACTTATTTTATAGTGTTATGGATTCTTTTGCTGTTGCAAGTATACAAACTGTGAAGAAAAATAATTGTTCGGAATGGTAACAGAATTGTCCCTGTACTTCAGAGACAATGAGACAAAGTTCTTCATATATTAATAGAAGTATGCATTTATGCTGATTTCTAAATGCTGAAATCTTTAAAAATATAAATATAGGTAACTATAATTTATATTTGAAGAGTAACTATAATTTATAGGTAACTATAATTTAATGAGAATGAAGAATTATATTATAAAGAGAAGATAGATAACTTCAAGCTTCAAGCAAGACATGATTAATTCTCTTATGATACACATGCAAATACAATAGATAAATCACAAAACTAAGAAAGAAAAATAGATGTAACTTTATAAAGTAAAAGCAAATATAAAATATTTAATATTTTTTTCAATTAACGTTATAAGAATACATTGTTTTTTATTTAATTTCTCATATTTAATATGTAAAATAGTATAATTACATGCATTTAAATAATTTCATTCTGAATGATCTGAATTAATATAATATTTATAATAATAATGTAATTTCTGGGAACTTAACTTCCAAAAATAATGCTTTGATGATACTTTTTCATGTGATGTAGTTTATTATTTAATTAATTTTGCTAGCAATATAACATTTCATTATTCATTATTACAACCCAAAAATTTCTGTTATAGGAAATTCCAAGCATCCAGAACGATGTGTCTATCCAGATTATTCCCATCTGCAATGAACTTATAATGGATCACCTCCAACACAGACTATAGGAGTAATTTCAACTGGAATTAACTTATGAAGCACAATTAAGGAAAATGAAATATCTGTACATGAATATTATAATAAGAAAAAATGAAGCCATAGTGTAAATGTTTAAAACTTTATATAATTTTTTATGAACTGTTTGAAACTGTTTACAACAGAAGTTTTTATACAACTTATGAATTTCAATATAATACAAGTGCATTATTGAGATTTAAATCGATAGGAATTAAATTATTATATTTATTTGGTTATTAATAATACAGTAAGAATGTCGTTAGGTTCTGGTAATTAATATTATACATACAATTCTAATTGTAACTACAATTCTATAATTTTATATTAAAATATGTGTACAAATATGCCTGTATTATATTAGTTACAAACTTTTACTTCTGTTAGATATTGTACTTACTGTTTCTCTCTTTGTACTTAATGAAATATCTATTTATTTTATTTAGTTGTTGTCAAACAATTACAAATGTATTTAAATCATAATAATAAGCTTTCAATAGGCATTTTATAATTGCATAGTAAGTGCAATCTACTGTGTTATGATAAGAAAAAAATGTGTCTCTCAGTTGTTCCTTATTACATATAGGATAATTTATATATAAGTTTTATGGTTACATATCAGTTGCTAATATTTGTAATATTTTGTAATTATATAAATAAATATTTAAGTAATTTAATTTGATTTTTTTTAAACCTGGGTGTGTAATTTATAGAATTTTTCAGGTTGCTTTTGGCAAACAATAACCATAAATAATTTGAAAAACAATAATTAGTAGCTCTATAATTAATTTTATTTACTTAATTACAATCATATATTACATCCATCCATTTCATTTTATATGATACTCATTAATTTATATAAAATCGTTTATTAATAAATTTAAAATTAATTTATTCAAAAATCCTATCTCTTCTATCTTTCTTCTATGATAGAAAGAGCCGACATCGAAAGACCGAAAATGTTCATAGTAAACTGGGTCTGTAATCGTTGCGAAGTATCAGGCGAACAGACACGCTCAGAATATATATGATAGTATAGTACTATTCGCGCGGTCTATAGAGCTCGCGTACCCTTCATACATTTCATACATTTTCATACGAATTTTTCGGCCGATCTATTAGGGTAGCAGACACATTTTTCAATCAAATTTCGCTCGTATTTCACAGGGCCGGCTGCTGAAATGTTAGGGGTAATTATTTTTAAAATTAAAAATGCAATTTATTGTTTTGGGATATTTTGATAGGTTTTGGTGTTGGCAATGGTTGTTTACCATCAATATTATTGTATAAACATTGAAAAAAGTAGTAAATGTGCATAATGTAGCTGATAATTGCAAAATTTAGTTATTTGTGTGTACGTACTACAATTTTCGACCTTTCGTCAACGTTTTCAGAAGAACGGCTGTACCGATTTAAAAAAATTAAAAAGCATCGGATGTGGCTTAATGGGGACTCTACCCAATTCGGTTTTTGCCACGATCGGACAAGCCGTTTTTTTTAAATTAGTGTAATTGTGCAAAAGGTTTTGCCCACGTTTTTTCTAAAATCCTTAAATCGAATTTAAAAATTGAAAAACTATTCAAAAGATATTTGTTAGGGAATCATAGTTTTTAGTTTTTGGTAAAGATCGGCTGGGCCGTCTCTTTGTAATTAGTTAAATAATATGGAACAAATTTTATTTGGTATTAAATTTTATAAATTATACACATAGTATAATTCTTAAGATAAAATTCCATATATTAGTGATATTATAATTAGTGCAATTATTATAAAAATGTGTTTTTCCAACTTTAAAAAAAAAATTACATATTTGTTTTATTCAACATATAAAGATGTTCAAAATGCGGTCCTGGTTTCTTGTTAAATGTAGTCCTGCTTTCTGATTGGTCGCCTCGTTTTGACAGCTCCAAATATATAAATGGCGGACAATTCTCATTACTTCTTACGAAAATGCTCTTGTAATCGCTTCGAAGTATCAGGCGAACAGAAACGTCAGAATCTATATATGAAAGTGTAATGTTACTCGTGCACAATGTATGGTGTCTATAACGAATTCAAATAACCTCAATGTAAGTACAAATTGATTATCATTACGATCATTATATTTCAAATGGAATATCATGTGGCTATTATATATTATATTTTTTATATCAATTCCTATTTTTATGTTTATTATTAAAAGTTATATCTATGTTAATTATTAAAATTAAACTTTTAATTACATTGTTACATCGATGTAGTTTGAAAAATGATTACTATCTAGTGTTTCTTATAATAAATCTATATTCTTTCCACAGGTGCTTATAACTTGTAAGGAAACAAGAAAAAAAAATTAAATGAAATATATTATTGATGAATTATGTAAAGGCAGTTGTATTTAACTGTCTTGTCAGAAATGTACATTAAACAGAAAAACAGAGATGATGAATAGAAGATCGAGTAAGTTTTACAACATTTTATATACTATTATATATAAGAGTTTTAGAAAATTTAATTTTATTCATATGAAAACTTAAATATCGAACTACAATTCCAATGAATTTGCCAATTCATGTGATAATAGAATAGAATAAAATGATAAATCAAAGTAGTAATGTCAGTATATTAAACTTCAGTTGTAGTTACATAAAACATCAATATTTTTTAATGAAATGAGTTAAAAAATAATGAGACTTACATATAGTTTATGTAAGAAACACAATTCTGTACGAAAGTACATTTTGCTCACAATAATCTAAGAAAATACCACGTAAATCTATTAGAATTTTAAGTGAATGTACTTGAATCACATGAAATGAATGAATTTACTATAAGTGATACTATAGATAAATTCTTTATTGAATTCAATTTATACTCACAATTTCTTTTATTATGAAAAATAATTGTTTGTCCCATCAAGCACTTTGAAAAATAATTACTTTATATAGTGCAAATAATATATGTTTTCACTGTTGTAAGTATACATACTTCGGAGCAAAATAATTGTTCGGGATGGTAACAGAGGATTGTCCCTGTACTTCCGAGATAATGAGACAAGTTCTGATATATATATATAATAATAGAAGTATGCATTTATGCTGATTTACAAATGCTGAAAAATATAAATATAGGTAACTATAATTTTGTGCATGTACTGCAAAATAAGAATGAAGAATTATACTATAAGTGAAGAAAACTTTAAGCTTCTAAATACATTTATACAATCTTGTGGAAATGTGAAAATTTTTCATCACATGGAGATGAAAGATCAGATAGTAACCATATATTTTTCCTTTTGATACATACAATTACAATAGATAAATCACAAAACTAAGAAAGGAAAGTAGATGTAACTTCATAAACAAAAAGCAAATGTAAAATATTTAATATTTACTCAATTAACATTATAAAAATATCTATATTCTTTAAATATTTAATATTTAAAATAGTATAATTACAAGCGTTAAAGTAATTTGATACTGAATGATCTGAATTAATATAATTTTTTATAATAATAAAGTAATTTATAAGACTTTACCAAAAATAAGAATGGTTTGACTATTACTTTCATATTATGATACTTTTTTATATGATATAGTTTATTATTTAATTAATTTTGATTGTAATATAACATATCATTATTCATTATTACAACCTAAATATTTTCATTATATGAAATTCATCAAGAATCCAGAGCGATATGTCTATCCAGATTTTTCATGTCTGCAATGAATCATGCTGTGCATTTTCTGAGCTTAGAACTTATGATGGATTGCCTCCAACGCAGACTATAGGAGTACCTTTAACTGGAACTAACCTACAAAGTACAATTAAGGAAGATGAAATATCTGAGCATGAACATTATAATGAAATAAAATAAGTTTTAAATACATTTTAATTATATTTTGATAAATATACTTTAAGGCAAATTAAAGTTGTCTGTGCCAGCAATTATATTCTTAGTACTAATACAATTTATTATTTTTATTACAAGTCATTTTTTCCATTATAGGAGATTCCAAGTTTTTACCCTGAACATCATGCTTGTTTACCTATTATCCTGAGTATCTTTTAAGTTCAATCCTTGCAGTGGACCACTTCCAATGCAGTCTTTAGGAGTACTTTTAACTGGACAATAGGTGCAGTAAATTTACTACAATAGTAAATCTACTATACAATCAGTGTAGTAAAGCTACTATAATGAGACGTAAATCTAGTACAATGAGTGTAATAAATCTACTTCAATGAGTGTAGTAAATATACTACAATGAGTATAGTAAATGTACTTCGTGGATCGAGTAAATCTACTACAATAGATAAAGTAAATCTACTACAATGAATCTAGTAGTAAATCTACTACAATCAGTGTAGTGAATCTACTACAATGAGTGTAGTAAATCTACTACAATCAGTGTAGTGAATCTACTACAATGAGTGTAGTAAATCTACTACAATGAGTGTAGTAAATCCACTACAATGAATGTAGTAAATCCACTACAATCAGTGTAGTAAATCTACTACAATGATTGTAGTAAATCTGCTACAATGAGTGTAGTAAATCTGCTACAATGAGTGTAGTAAATCTACTACAATGAATGTAGTAAATCCACTACAATCAGTGTAGTAAATCTACTACAATGATTGTAGTAAATCTGCTACAATGAGTGTAGTAAATCTGCTACAATGAGTGTAGTAAATCTGCTAGAATGAATTTAGTAAATCTACTACAATGAGTGTAGTAAATGTATTTCAAGGATCGAGTAAATCTATTACAATGAGTGTAGTAAATCTAGCTAAATAAAATATCCTTATTATATTGGCAGTTTGTTTTAACTTTTTTTTGAATCAGTTTTACAGTTTCACACCTATTGATGATATAGATTTGAAACAATCTGTCGACATCTTGAAGTAATAAGGAAGATGAAACATTTGAGAATGAATTAATATTATTATCATATGATGTAAAAAGCAAGTTGCTTTTGTATCTTTGAGACGAAGTGAAACGTAAATGTTTAAAGACTAGATTTAGTTACATATGATATTCTTTGTATTGTCTTTTTATCAAATCAAGTATTTCATGTAAATGGTCTTTATAGAATGATGTACAATGCAATGCAATATATGTCCATTTATTTATTTAGATTTAAAATGTAATTGATAGTAATCAAGTTAATATTTATAAATTCAGTTAGTAATAATTATGTTCTGGCAATTAAAATTGTATTTGAATTTTCGATAACTGTATAAATTATTGTTATTATATTATAAAAGCTTATGGTATATAATTTATATTTTCAGCTCGTTTTAAGTATAAAATTGAAATCAAATATTTATTAATGAGCTAAAATAATTTCATAAACAATTTTAACTGGAAAAAATTATATTTTCAAGCTAATTTATTCACTTTGAACAATATACTTTATATAACAATACTTCAAACTTTTTTGTTTGAATTTCGCGCTTTAAATTGTACAAGATTGGGCAGCTGTCATTGGCTAACTTTAATTACGTATTACGTCAAATGTCAAGAGATTTTTGTGAATGAACTTAATCTCGCGTTAATTAAGATTTTTTAATTAAATCCTTGATTAGTTTTAATTAAATTGTGCATCAAATTGTTTAATTAAATCTATAGATCAATCTGACATAAAAAATATATCGTGCAACGTTTGTAAAAAGTAAAAAAAATTGATATGTGGGAAGTGCGTAGGTGTATCTTGAATAGTAATAATTATCTCTTTCAGTGCTAATGTATCCTTTTTTACCCTTTTGAATCAATGATTTACCCCCATTTTGAATCAATATTATAATTAAACCTTTTACTTTCAGTGCCAATGTATCCTTTATCTATATATATGCATATAGCAATTGTATAATTTATATATGAATGTGTATACTTTTGTAGGTTATGGTGGCGCATTTCCACATATCTATTTATTCAATTTTAAGTTCACAAAAGTCTCTAATGTAAGTCGTGTTTTTTGTGTTTCGTAGAGGATTTACTCGGACAATTGTAAAATGTCGAATAGACTTGTAAAAGACAAAGTTATGTAGTGGTTCTAAAGTAGTGATTTTGTGTCGAGTACTTGAGATTTCTGGCAGATGCTCCAGAGGTGATTCATGTATTAGTTTTGTGTTCTGCTAGCTGCTGCAGAGGATTTCTAACAATGTAAGTGCAGAGCATGTTTTTTACAAAGCGAGGCAAAAAATATATTTCTGATAATATATACAGGCATTTAACGTATTATTTATTTAATATTTAGCTTAATTTTGAATTCAAACAAGAATCAAATAATTATGAAAATCTTTGATGTTCGACACAATATTGTTTGTCGTCTTCAGTGAAACTATAATTTGAATACTAATAAATAAAAAAATATTACTTATAATTTATTTCCTGAAAAGGGTTTAGTATTATTGACCGATTTTGTATTACATGCTACTTTTATGCTTGTAATAATAATATTTCTCAATAATAATATTTAATGCTAGTTTTTCATATTAAATGAAGTTAATTTAAAGGTGGTTTGAGAACTTGTTCCTTTGTTATACGATATCATTTATAAAGCAGCTTGTATATATTTTAGTGGAATATTTTTTGGCTTGTGCATTATTATTATACAGTAGAACCTCGATTATCCGGACTAATTGCTGTCGGTAGGCATCCGGATAATTGAAAATCCGGATAATCCAAATTATGAAGAATAATGTTTTGTAAAAATAACAAATACATACATAGATATCAACAAAAATCGATGTTTATTAGAAAATTAACGCTTTTTTTTCACAATTAGATTACATTATACGTATTATATTAATCATGAGGTAAGATATTCAGGTGGTACGTAAAGTATCAATGAATAAGAAAAGTTGCTTACGAATAATATAGAGCTTCTTCTAAGAGTTAATTTTTTGGTCTGTTCATTTTCCGATTTTCACTCCCCTCTTTACTATCTAACTTGCAAGTGTACGACAAAATTGAATCGGCATTCTTTTTAGTATCGCTTATAGTGGATGTACCTACACCATACCTATTAGCTAACTTACGGCCTGTTTCGCGTTTTTTAATGATTCGATAATATCTGTTTTATCTTTAAGGGATAACACCACCCTTTAAAAATGTATATATGCACGTCAGAACAGAGAATGTATTATTAATGTATATATGCACATCAGAACACACTAGTAAAATATGCAAGTTTCGAGGTTCTACTGTAGTTATATACATATATCTGCTGAAAATATTGTATATATTATAATATTTGAGTCAATATCATTTTCTTAATAAGGTATACTTTATTAATTTTTAATGCATAAAATACAATTTATCTTTTGTTTATTCAACTACAACTATTTTGGAAATAAAAGATTTTAAATTTATTTGGCAGACATATGTATGAAAAACTTGGTTCTTATTTAATTTGTTATGGGGAAAACATGTTGATTCAGTTTTTTTTATTTATTTATTCAAGTGCATTTTATACTTGTTTTAAATATATAAAAGAGAAAAGTTTCTTTTTCTCTTATGTATCAAAGACGCTGAAAGTAATTTAAATTATTACAATTCCATAATAATATTCAACCAGAGATTCTTTTGCTGTATAAATAACACTATGAACTAATTTTGTATGGAATTTAGAATTTTCATATGTATATTAAATTTTTGTTACCAAATTATTAGTTAATTAATACAGCTTTTTGTAAGCATCGATTACTTATTTGTTGAAGGGGTCCTAGAATCCATCCTTAGGTAACTCCTAAATTGATGGTATTTTGTTACAACTTACAAATATACTTTGTTACAAAAATCTCTTTTTTATCACACTTGTTCATTATTATACAGAAAAAATATTTGTATTTGTATTTAACATTTCCAATATCAAGAATCATATGTTTTCCCTGTAGCGACATTGTCTGCATGTACATTCTTATTTATGGATAACACGATTGTTGGTTTTGATCAAAATATTTTAAATAGTCAATACAACTTACCAAATTGTTAATTAAATGCAGCTTTTAAAAGTCTTTTACTGTAGTTTAATTTTAAATTTATTCAATTATATTGCTGCATAGCTAAATGATAGATTTTTATTCTTTTATTGATAAAAACAATTTTGATCAAGACATGCAATCAAAGTTTCAAAGAGTTGACTTGAATGATTAGACAAAACGTAATTATGTTAACAAGTTTATTATTCGATTCAAGTTGTAAAAATTATTTAACTCAATTTCTAAAGGATAACAATCATATTTAAACAGTTTTGAAGTTTTTAATGTTCACATTTGAATATTTTTTATTATTTCATTTTACAAGTTTTATTGAATTTCTTTTCTAGCTTTTTCCAATAATTTGTATATTATTCAAGTCAACTACGTTTGTTTTTGTCTCGATTAATTGTAAAGGTTTCACATGCTTTATCAAGTCGTATAAACGATTTTAATTTGATTAATATGATTTCATTTCATCGATTAATTAAATAATTCTCTCGAATAATTTTTTTTTTTTATAAGTCCAAATTTTTTGATTATAATTCTTTCGAATAATTTTTTTTTTAAGTCCTTTCAGATATTTTTTTTTTCTAAGTCCAAATTTTCTGATTTTAATTTTTTCGAATAATTTTTATTTTCTAAGTTCTTTCAGATAATTTTTTTTTCTAAGTCCAAATTTTCTGAAACCTTTTCAATTAAGACAGACGAGTTATTTATGCATGCTGTATTATCCCAAAGCCAACATTCGAATGAATGAGGCTCACATTGAATATTTCACAACGAGAAAATTTTATTGGGACAAAGTTAAAAATTTTAACTAAGTCCCAGTAATTTTTTCTCGTTGTGAAAATTTCAACGTTGACCTCATTTCATTCGAGTGTTGGCTTTGGGAATTGGTGTGAGGGAACACTAAAAAACATAAAAAAGTTTCAGCATTGAACAGAAAAGAGAAAAA